ACCCGGACATGATCTCTATTCGCATGCTGATTTCAAACAAATCCTAACCGCATATTTGTCTAGTTCGCATGCTTTTAAGCAGAAAATAAAGTAGGAAATAAAACAGCCTAGGGTTTGGAATGAGGTTTCGGGGTGGGCTCTAATTCCCTGTACTCTCCCGGTTTAGGTTCTAAAAAGGTACTCGAGTTCTCCTTGCCGGTGCCCCTTTGGGCTTGCCAGACCCTTAGTCCTAAGCCTATTACAAGCTTGTGTGGACTAAGTTAAACTCGAGAGGACACATTCCCTTATGCCCGCACGGTGAATAAATTCACACGAAGACATAAGGTATATGAATCCCGAAGGCTACTTGCTAGGCATATGCGGTGAATAAATTCACACGAATGCATCGCTTTCACCCCCACTTAAAACGGGTTCGGAGCTCGGGTTTAGAGCTTGAGATGAAAACTTTGAAAAATCTGAAATCATTAAAAAATGTTAGTACAACTATTTATTTGAAAAATAATCAAAGGTAAATAACTGGAATCGAATAAAAAAATTTAAATTTAAATTTACCATTTTCGCATAAAAAGACAACCGAAAATTAATTTCGGCCTGACTCACTTACTTGTCCCCAGCAGAGTCGCCAAGCTGTCGCAACCGTCTTTCGGTTGGACCCGGAATCGGGCTTCGACTTGAGTGATTGGGTTGAGAGTCGCCACCGACCATTTATTTAAAAATAAATGGGTTGATCGGATACCCTATTTCTTACCTGATCTGCGTTGTACCAGAAATACGTTGGGTTCGGGAGTCGGTTACGGTCAAGGAAGGATTAGCACCCTTGAACCGCCCTTTCGGTACCAATTAATTTACCGATTGTCTTTAATGGCGAAAATAAAAAAATTTAAATTAGAATTTAAATACTCGATTCGAATGGTTTACCTTTGACCGATTTAAAGGACCACTGAAAATGTTAAAGAAAATGTTAGATGATAAAAAGATATTAAATAAATCAAAAAAAAAATAATAATAATAATAATAAAAGTAAATAATTAATTAAAATACTAACAAAGTAAACCAAAAAGAAGATTAGTAAAAAAGGAAAAAAATGAAAAGGTTAGATACTGTAAAAAACGTCCTGAAAGTAGATGTCGACTAAAATGAGCCAAAATAAATAAATAAAATAATTAATAAATAAAACACGGACTAAGATATAAACAAAGGATGAATGAGTGCCCAAAACAGAAAATCAAAACTCCATTAAATGATTAAATGGCCATATTACAAGATCGGGGGACTAAAAAGGTATTACCCCCTTTAAGGCTTAAAACCGCGGGTATTATAGGCTAAAACGACGTCGTTCCACGTTTGTCTTATAAACCCTATCGCAAGGCTTAATATTCTCATTTTATCTCCATTTGCTTCCTTACCTTGAAACCAGAAAAGAGAGAGAAGAGAACGAGCTCTCTCAACAGCTTCGGCTGAGCCCCAAATCCGACGAAGCTTCACCGCCTAGGTCGCCGTTAACCGGCGGCGTCCGTCGTCCGCCGGTGCCTGAGGAGAAAAAGGTGTCTCCTTTCGACGCGCCTTCCACTCCCGGATACGAATCCGGGCTTCGTTTTGTCTGGAAACGCCTTAAAGTCCGTAGATCTACATAGACTTTTCGTATCTTTTGTTTCTTTTTGCTAGGTGTCGAGTTTCCTGAATGGTTTTTGTCTCACTGTGATGGCTCGATTTTGTTGGTTCGATGTTTGCTTGAACTTGTTGTTCTGTTGATGTTCGGTATTGTGGATTCTCTGTCTCGGTTTACTGTTTCTGTTGATGATCTTTGTTCTCAGTTTGGGTATTGATGATCTTGTTGGTTCTGTGTGGATGGTTGTTGGCAGTGTTTGTTCATGTTTTGTTTTCTCGTGGTGGAGACCCCCCCCTGGTCGATGGGTGGTGGGATATTTATACCCACCACCGGCCGTTTGTGACTTCCGAAATACGGGGCTCGTTCGTGGCCGTTGTGACCGGTCACCCCGAGATGGGTCAGTCCCGGGATCTCGGCCGGAAATCTCGCGCCGTTTGTAACTTGACCCTTGACCTCCTCTGCACGGCGCTGCTCTGCTTGGATGAGTAAACCCTAATTTTAGGGTTTAGGCTGGTTCAGGCCCCAAACCTATGGACCCGAGTAGTGGACTCAGACCTGATCGTAGATCTGGACCACAAAACAAGATAAATGAAATTAAATGAATTTAAATTAAACGAATAAATGAAAAGAAATAATAATAATAATAATAATAATAATAGCGTATATAATATATAAAAAATATTTTTAAAACTATATATTATACTTAAAATGTTTTCAAAGCTATATATTATATAGTTTTCAAAAATGATTTTAAAAATATAATATAAGTTTTTCAAAATGTTTTTTAAAACTATATATTATATAAATTTTTCAAAAATGTTTTTTTAAAAACTATACATTATATTTTCAAAATGATTTCAAAAATATATATTATATAACTTTCAAAATGTTTTAAAACTTATATATTGTATATAAGTTTTCAAAAACATTAACTATATATATATATATTTTCGGAAACCGTTTTTTTTTGAAAACTATATATTATATTTTTCAAAAACATTTTTAAAAAAATATGCTATATTACTATATATATATATATAGACGAAAATGAGTGTTTACACTGTGTAAAATTAATCTTTAAACTATTAAAAATAATTGATAAAAGAAAGATACTATTTATATTTTATGATGGTTTATCCCTTGCTTGGCAATTGGCATTATGGTTTCGAATTGGTGCAGGTTCAATCAGATTGTTCTCGAGCCATTTCGGCAATCATGCCCACAACAGCCCTTTGGCCCTGGTCCGTGCAATTTCACAAATACAACGAAGAGGATGGGTCCTTGATTTCAGCTGGATCCCAAGAGAAGCAAATCGCCCTGCCGATGCAATGGCCGGACATGTTTCTTAGTCCCAATTCGAGATGATGCACCATGAGCTTCCTCCAGAATACAAACAAGATTTACTGCATCGAGACATTGCAGCCCCCTTACTGTAAAGCTAGTTCTAGCTAGCCTAGTTTATTAAACTACTCTTCTTAATTCAAATATATATATATATTTATAAATATCTAAATCCATAATCAAAATCACTATTTTTATATCTATTTCTTGTACTAAATCTAGAAATTAAAAATAAGCATATCTATCAATTTTAAAATAAATCCAAAGTTTAAATTTTAATGTATCCGATATATTACCGTCGCATTTACTAAAAAGAGTTACTATATCATGGGTTTACTAAAAGGGACCCCTACACATTGATGGATCAAATTTAAAAGATTTAAATTCTTATATATTTTAAATATTTTTATTGATAATTTATTTTTGTTTCTTAAAATTTGTAAGTTCATCTTCTTTTAAAATGTTATAAATTGATCTTCTAACATAAAATTTTACGTTCGTCTTTGTTCTTACGTATTATTTATTAAAAGCCAAAATAAAAAAGGAGCGTAACCGATGAGTAAGAATCAACATCCACCTCACAAACTGAGACCAAAAGGACACATTAAGTGAGTGAGTGAGTGGATCATCCCTTCGACAAAAATCCTCAAGAAATTTGCAATCCCTTTGAACCGTATGCCACATCCTCCAACCTACAACTACTACACCAAACAAACAAAATTACAAACTAATATTCAATTTAATCCCATTGGATTAGATGATATGTATTTTTTGAAAGTCCAAATCTAATGGGTTTTAAAGTCGTTTTTCCATGATTTAAATATATCTATGAAAACAACAAAGCTTGATTTAGAGAGGGTTTTGATTGAGGTGGACACAAAATATTGGTGGGAGATATTAATGCAATTTCAATGCTATTAGCTGCTCATTTAAGTAATGTTTTTAATTAGCAATGATTTCAAATTTTGTTGGTAGTGATGTTGATGTGTGGGTAAATCCTCTACATTTTGGAAATTTAAATCAAACTCAACTTTTCCATGTGCAAAAGTTTTTGGTTAAATCATCTCTAAAAACTTATACACTTCTTATTAGGGTATAAGCCACAACCCATTGTAAATTTCACAATTTTTTTTATCAATTAGTAATCTTCGGTTTGTTTTATTCTCTACTAAATTTTACTACAACACTTGTATTGATTTTAGATCGATGCATGAGTCAAAATAGACGATTGAGATTAACAATATAAAATAACAAAATATTCACTAATCACAGTCGTTTATTTTTCCTCATCCAATGATCTTAAATCAATAAAAACTAAGTAATTTTTTTTAATTTTATACTTTTTTTTAAATCGTCGAATGAGTGAAAATAGACGATTACTATTAACAGTATGAAATGAGAAGATGCTTATAAAAAATGAGATAATCTCAAATGTTTATTTTCATTCAATCAACGATCCTCAAAAAGTGTGGAACTAAAATTTTACATTAAATGTAGTTGATCCTAACAAACATGTATATATTCTTCAAGTTGATAAAAGAAAACAATTTAGATTAGGGATGGATTAATAGTTTTAAATTATCATATATTTTAATTTTTTATATTTCGTATTGATAATCTATTCTTATCTCCCGCAACTTAATAATTTACATCACTTCTAAAATTTTAGGAATACATTGTGTTCGTCCTTGGTTCTAATAGATAACTAAAAAAACATAAAATTATTTTAATTTGTTTATAAAATAGGATCTTATGTGATTGAGATAAGAATGTATTTAACCCTTCAAATTTATACTATGTTAAGAAAATTCATTGTATTACCAAAAATACCCATTTATTCTAATACATATTTTTATTAAATATTTAATGCATCTATTTAATAACACACCGGTTATTTTTTTATTTAAACCAAATATATTACTAAAATCAAACTAACAATAAATAAAGAAATTCTAAAAAGAAAAATCCCACTTCTCAATCTGGAAAAAGCCCAATAAAGTAGGTAGCGAAAACAACTTCCTTTCTCCAACTGAAATACAGTTCCCCTCTCCCTCATCTTTTCTTCAAAACCCTTTTTTTTATTTCTTTTAATTCCTCGAATTGATCACTATCTGTTTTCTTCTTTTTTTCCTTGTTAAACCTCTCTTTCCTCTCGCAAGAAACTGATCAACTCAATAGGCTTTTCCATCTCCCGCCGGAATATTCGTTCTCTGATCATCGTCCGCTTACCTGACCTCTTCTCTCCGGCGATCACTCTTTCGGTTCCTTTCTATCTGATATTTCAACGAATTCTCGAATTTCTCAAGATTGATTTTTCTTTGACTGAATCGTTTTGGAAGTTTTTTTAGATCGGCAAAAAAAAGGTGAGATTTGTGTCCTTAGTAATCTGCAGCTTTCTGTTTTGATTTGTTTCTTGCTATGTAGATCACTCGGATTAGCATATAATAAAAGTAAACGAATAAAATTAGTTTTAATTTATTCTCTTTTTTTATTGTTATTTTTAATAGTTTGTTTTAAACGAATAATTTCTGCAACTTTGTAATTGAGAGGTATGCATAAAACAGTTATTTTTTTTTTGTATCACGGTATTTTTGTCTTCAATTTTAGAGACATAACTCTGTCAAAGCCAGACACTACATGGTTTTGGATTTTTCTCATTAAAAAATTAAATCGCAGTGAAATTATTGTCATTTTAATTTTAAACCTTTAATCATTCCTGTGATTTCCATCGATTTCCGTTCCTCGATCTGGAGATACAAAAACAAAAAATATAGACTGTAACATAAAACAATTTAAAAATAAAAATAAAAAATGATATTAATTCTAGGAATCAATTACGATTATGTTTTTATCCGTTAATTCAATTTTTTTAATTTATATAAAAAAGTAAACTATTATTTAAATTTTCACTGTGAATTTATGGAGATGGACACTGGTCTTCCTTGCACGTGGTGCTCCATCTCTTTTCCCATATCTTCACCAACATTAACACTACAAAAACTTCAATCTTGTTCTCGCCTCGTCCCAATTATTCGTTTTCTCAAACCAATACGGATACAAACAAACAATCTTACATGATTACCTAATTTGTTTAACTGCAGTTTTAGTTTTTTATTTTTATGTTAATTTTACTATCATTTAGTAGTTAATCACACATGTGATCCCATGTAAAAAAAGACCATGTGACCAATTTATGTATTTTGATGCATTTGTTTGTTGGTATCATTTCCATTGAATTCCTATTCATGGAAAGCTGGTGAGAAGGAAGGGAAGAGGCCACGGTTGGCTGTTTATTTATTTCTGTGAGTGAAAATCAGTTAATTTCATTGTGGTTTTGGTTTTTCCAGCCCAACTGACATGCATTCGCGTGATTAAGTTGAGGTATTACCATTACGAAGTTAGGACCATTACAGCGAGAAGGTACAGGTGTAGTTGACATAAACATTTTGAAAAAGTTTTTTTTTCTATGTATTTGAAGAACTTGTACATACATACATACATACATGTACCTATATAAATAGGTGTGTCTTCTTTCACTCTCTCTCCTGAGCACCTTTCTTCTAGCTGTCTTTTTATCCTACACCCCCACCACCAGGAAACAAAAACCGGTGGAGATTTTAACAGTATAGTTTTCTCAAATCTTCACATAGGGGACCTCTTAGTGTGTTGCTTTTGCAATTTTAGTTTAATTTAACCTAAGCCTTAGTGATGTCCGTTAATTTATATTGGATAGGGTTCTGCTGAAATTTCTAAAGGACAGCCCCCCCTTTTGTTTCCTGGTGTACCTGATGCTATTTTATCACTTCTCAGTCTCATTCTGATGGCTTGATCTGCTTGGATTTGGGCTTTCTTGATTAATAAGCTATGCCCATTTCTGTTAATTTATTGTAAATCTCTAATTCTTCATGAGTCAGATCTCGCCATCTATAAAGATGTTTCTTTTTTCTCCTATGGTGTTGATAATCATTCCTTTGCTTTGTGCCATTCTGTAAGCATCTAACTTTTGGTTTATGCATTTGTAGCAGATTTATTGCCGGGGAAAGTATCTTCTTTTTGACCAGCTGGCGTTACTCCGATTATATGGGGGATTAATATAATAGTTAGGCTGTTAAATGTAGCTTAGTTTCCTTTATGGAAAATCCCATCAATGTGGTCTAGTTTGGAAAGTTTGGATGGATAGATGTGAATCAGAGCGACGATTGCAGAAGCTTGCTGCTGTTGATGCGAGGTCACCCCTTGTTCCTGCTGAAAAAAACAATGCATCACTCACAACTCGACAACCTCAAATTAGGGAAGTTAGTTCGAGGTATAAATCACCCAGTCCTGCAACACCTTTTGGTTCGAGGCGTTGCCCATCTCCAATTACCAGAACAACCTCTACTCCTTCCCAGTTGGTGCAAAATAGAGCTGTTTCGGCTGAGCGGAAACGTCCCTCAACACCATCTTCACCTCGAAGTCCATCAACACCGGTTCAAGATTCATCAGTTTGTGAGAAGATATCATCTAGAAGGCTATCAACTGGCCGCACACCTGAAAGTTTATGGCCATCTACCATGAGAAGCCTTAGTGTTTCATTTCAGTCTGATACAATTTCAATTCCTGTTAGCAAGAAGCAAAAAGAAAAACCGGCTAGTAATGTTTCATTGGATCGTACTTTGAGACCTTCTTCAAATGTGGCTCACAGACAACAGTCCGAAAAATCTGTTGTATCGCGTAAGCCTACTCCAGAGAGAAAGAAAAGTCCTCTTAAAGGGAAGAATGCGCCTGATCAATCTGAAAATGATAAACCAGTTGAAGGTTTTCCTGGCCGAATAATAGATCAACATTGGTGGCCTAGTAGAAGTCATGGGAAACTGTCTTCCAATTCATTGAATAGAAGTGTAGATCTGGGTGATATTAAAATTGTTAAAAGTTTATCTACACCAGTTCCTGGAATCGGGTTATCTTCACTGAAGAGAATGTCAATTTCCGATAGTTTGAGTATACCACCAAAGAAATCTGCTAATGCCGCTTCCAATTTGTTATCACTCGATAGAATCAGTCAGGTAGGGCCTGAGGCAATTCCAATTGATGGTAAGTATCTGCGGGTATCTGGACCTGCAACGCTCCTTTCTGCAAGTTCATTGGACAAAATGACACTGACAACTTACGCACGCAAATCTCTGTCTTTGTCTGCTCCTGGATCACGACCTCAGACACCAAATAACACTTCCGTTTCTAGGGGTGCCAGTCCTCGGGCAAGACCTTCCACTCCACCTCCAAGAGAAGTCAGTGCAACTCCAAGGGGAGTCAGTCCATCTCGTTCAAGGACATCCACCTTATCTAGTCAATCCCACAGCTCAACTTCAGTTCTTAGTTTTATTGCAAACTTTAAGAAGGGAAGAAAAGGTGCAAGCTACATAGAAGACGCTCATCAACTTCGGCTTCTTTACAATCGTAATTTGCATTGGCGATTTGCTAATGCCAGGGCAGAAGCTGTACTGTATATTCAGAAAATTACTGTGGAGGTAGATTTCTTCTCAAAATGATCAACTTTGCATCAACTAATATTAGTCTATGTTTTAGTAAGGGAGACTTTTGATGGTTAGAATAGAAAAACTATACTTTCGTGATGCATTTATGCAATAATTGAAAAAAAGGTGATTGTTCGATTCTTTGAATCACTGTTCACCATGATCGGTTTCTTACTGTGATGAATTTTTAACAGTTAGCATCCATATATGCACATAGAGGTTTAGAAATGGCATAGATAGTGGATTGCCTCTTCTTTATTATCTTTTTGTCAAAGAAATTTGATCTGTTGTTGCAGGAAACTTTGTACAATGTCTGGAATGCTACTTTGGGTCTGCGGGATGCCATGATCAAGAAAAAGATCAATCTCCAACAATTGAAGTTAGAGCTCAAGTTGAACTCTGTTTTGCATGATCAAGTAACAGTTGCCTCTATTTCTCCTTTCATAGAAAACTTTTATTCTCCTTATACAGGTTCAATGTTAGAAGTGCTTGTATATTTAAGTTTGAGATTATATTAATAGTTTATATGCATTTTCAATTGTGCTACTCCGGATGACGATACAGGAAGGTAGTCAGCGCTTATCTTTTTACACCTTCAGGTCTAAATTTTTATGTTTTAGGGAAATGAAGATTCAAACTTCAGTCTCCCTTTTGGAGGAAAGGTGGAAGTCACTAAGCTATGTCTTGGTCCATTCTATAGGTCTAAATTTTATAGCAGTATAATATTTAGTCATATCAGCATGCCATTTTGAAGTATCATTTAGATGAATAAAAGGCTTATTTTATAGTTAAATGGTTATAGGAAATAATATATTGCATTGTTGTGGACCTCTAAGCTTCTTAAATTTGGCAGTGGTTCTGGTTAGAATGAACTTTAGATGTCTTGTGGAATTTTAAATACTAAACTTCTAGTTGTGGTAGCCTTCTAATGGGACAAAGAAAGTCAAATCTCATTGATACTTGGAAAAGCCTTGGCAGGAGGCTCATTCTACAGCATGCGTTTCCCCCCAATTTCTGCATTTGAGGATTTAGAAGGTTTTCTATGTGGTTGAAGTCCATATTTTGGTGCTATATACAGGCACTAGTAATTTACTCATGATATGTAACTCTAGTTTGATCAACACTAAAAAATCTTTAAAGTTTGAACTTTTCTATGTTGGTTTTGGGAACCTTTTAGATTCAAATATATTTTGGTGGATAAGGCAACCTTTAAAATTAAAACCTATAAAGATTGGATGGAGGCTTGGTAGAACAGGTTTCCATTAAATGTGATAAAATATCATAACTGACTCCTTGTTGCATAAACATGAATGGCTACGTAAGAAGACCAGGTGTAAAGTGCATATCAGTACATTTGGCAAGGACTTGCCTTACCAACATGGTCTGGTCCGGCCCATGATACCTCTTTTCTGAAGTGACCTTCACTTGATAACTATTATGTTGGTCTAATTATTACTTTTACAAGTACATCACAGTTGCAATTTTTAGATTATACTTTTTATGTTGATCAATGAATAGATTGAAGAGAAACAAATTTATTATCTACATGACTGATATATTTAATGTCTCACATTTCGAATAATTGCTTATGATCTACAGCTTGTGTCTTCAAAAGTTTGATTTAAGGTATTGTGTTTAATCATCGTGGAAACTTCTTATCTAAAAATTGGAAAAGCTAAATATTCTCTCTCATTTCAAGAATATTTTTTAATGGTCGGCATATCAGTATAGATTCTTTCCACTGGGTTTCCTTTATCTAAAGCATATGTATATGATTCATGCAGATGGGATATCTTAACAATTTGACATTACTTGAAAGAGATCATGTAATTTCTTTAGCTGGAGCAGTAGAAGATCTGGAGGCAAGCACTCTGCGTCTTCCTGTAACTGGAGGGGCAAGGGTAAGTTCAATAAAATACTTTAGATTGATATCAGAAAAGAGAAATATTGACATCTTTGCTGGATTTTGTACTCATCAGGCAGATATTGAATCATTGAAAGATGCTATTTCTTCTGCTGTTGACGTGATGCAGGCTATGGGATCATCCATTATTTATTTACTCTCAAAGGTGTCTTTCCTTCCCAAGCCAGTTATTTCACTTGTTTCTGAACATAAATGCCTGACATTATTAGCAGAAAGAACAAAATTCAATGTTGATGTCTTTACTTACCACTATAGTTATCTGATATTTAAATTTAAGATGCCAACTTCTAGTATATTTTCCAATTAAATTTTAATTTTGGTTCAAGTAGAATTTCTCTGTTTATTTTACTTGAAGGTGTCGAGACTAGTGTTTCTCGAAATTTCAGCTTTGATGATGTATGTAACTCTAAAATGAATTTTCTTCTTACCCTTTTTTTATTGTATAATTTTATGGTGTGAGAGCGTATATCTTTGCTAATGACCCTCAATCCACATCGACCACTTGGATTCTGTTCCATGCTGTTCCAATGTGTGACAGATGGTTGATTCTGATACTAGCTTGCAGTTTTCTTGCTGATATATCTTGATTTCATTCAGGAAGCTTAACCGTATTTCAATATTTTACATGCTTTAGGTGGAAGGAATAAACAATTTGGTTTCTGAGCTTGCTGCAATCGCTACACTAGAGAAAAACATGCTTGACCAATGTGAAGCTCTAATGGCTTCAACAGCGGCTATGCAGGTAAAGGACACATAAATGCTTGCTGAACTTCAACTTCTTGGATTAAATATGACTACATCTCTACTTGACAAACTCCTCTAATATTCTGTTGCAATGGCTGCTAAATATTTTCTATGTTAAAAATATGCCAAAGCATGAGGATATGATTTAAAGCTATTTTCCTCTTTAGAGAGAGAATTTAGGGAGGGTTGAATTTGATTTTCATGTGATGCTTATGGTAAACCACGTGGAACATGACATAGTCCTCATTGGAATTAAGTCAAGTCAGTTTAGTTGATTACGCTGAAGTGGAAATTTCTTTCGAGTGTTGATGGGGACAGGAGAGAACTTTCAGTTTGAAGCTTATGTGTAATAGTTGGAATGCTCTGACATGCATGCTAATTTGCCTGAAATCTATATGTGTCATAGTTTGATTATTTCTAAGCTTTTCTATGTATTTGGAGGATTCTTAGAACATATCTCCGTACCCATGTTTAGATATGCTCCACACACAGATCCGATATGGGTACTCAAAATAAAAATGAAGTTTCAAAGCAACAATAGCTCGAAACCGACTCGACCGCCGTAAATGTGACCAATCCATCCCTTATATGCCATCACTATCAAACTGGCTGGCTAATTTCAGCTTAACCTATGCATGTGGCAACTGAGCTGGCTAGAACAGATTTCTGCAGATTGCAAACTTTTGTTTCTATGTTCTAATGCATATAGTTTCTCTTTCTTATTTCTTATGTGTGTATATATATATTGGATATGATCTAATTAGACAATGTAAAACTAAAAAGTTTTATACAGATTTAAAACCGTTGGATGAGTGAAAATATGCTGCTGGCAAATGAGAAGATATTTACTAAAGGAAAAAAAAAGTTAACCTCAATCATATATTTTTATTCATCCAATGGTCTTAAATCTGTGTAAAGTAAGTTTTATACAATGTAAGTGGATCCTGAAACTAAAAAAAGTTACACATTTGACAAGGTTTTTGCTGGTGTTATTGAACAGTTAGAAGAGTATAGTGTTGGGTCTCAACTCATACAAACAAAACAAGCTTTGGAGAGGAATAAGCAGCCGATGATGGCAACCAAAACATTATTTCTATGGCCATGAACCAGCTGGTAAGCTAATAGTAATCTGCCAATATATCATCCTTCAAAATGAGGTAAATTTATTAACAAATCTGCTCTACCAGCCCCAGTAAATGTAAAGTTTCCCCTTTTTTTGCTTTTTGTTTTCCCTTTAACTTGAATGGTATTTTTTCTTCTTTCATTTTTTTACCCTTGCAAAAGGTTGGAGTTTTTTTGGCTCTGATCTTTTTCCTACGTGTAATTTTTGTATTACGCATATGAAAAGAGAAAAAAATGCAAAAGAAACGAAATATTTTTGAAAATAAGATTATAGTTTTAATTTAGTCAGATATAACTTCGTTCAATACAATATCCGAAGTACAATTCGGACATTAATATTCGGTATAAAATAAATTATAATGACTTAAAACTAAATTGTGCAAGACCGTGAGCTGCTCCATTCACTTCTCGACGGACAAATTGAATTTTAAAATTGTTGTTGCAATCTAGTATTTCCCGAGCTTCCCAGCAATGGACACCTAGTGGTGACAAATCGTCTTTAGAATTGTTCAATTTATTCACCACGACAGCAACATCACCTTCTATAATTGCATCGACCCAACTCTTTTCCATCGCTAATTGAAGACCTGTTGTAAATGCGATCGCTTCGGCTATGTTTGGATCAAAACAATTGGTTAGTTTACGTGCATGGCTTGCTATTACTTGACCATATTGATCGTGCCACCACACCGACTGCCAGGGGTGTTTAAATCCATGTACTAGAAATATCGGGTACTCGGAATATTCGAATATTAAAATGTCGGCATGTGTCTCAGTTTGGTCTATATTGGCCCGTTAAATCTGGAATTCGTAAGTCGGGTATCTATAAAACTCGTGTACCCACATTTTTGGATAATGGGTACTCAATTTATATTTATATTTTATTTTTTATAAATTATATATTTTTTAAAAAAAATTACGTAGAAAAAAATTAAAATATAAAAGTTATTATACATAATTCGCTCATAAAATTTAAAAATTTAAATTACATAATTAAAAAATAAAACTTATTAAACATAAAATCAAATAAATATAATTATATTTAAAATATTTTAAAGTTAAAAGAAATAAATTGAGAAATAGTTCAAATTGTAACCCTAAACCCACCCTAACGTTACAACAGAATCTAGGCAGTCACATGTCGTATACAGAAATCATTTTTCAGTGAATAAAATTTGTATAACGGTAAAGTTCATACGACAAACATATACATATACCATCATCAGAAATATGAATAAAACATGTCCAGAAGCATAATACCGATAATACAGACATAAAGACAATAGTAAAATCATGTGTCACTAAAAAAAGGCATACATAAATATACAGTGGTATAAAAGTGAGTAGAGACCGGTCCTCCTGATGCCAAGTCTACTAGCCTACCGTCTGGTGCTATATGAAAGGTTAAAAAAATAAAGAATGAGTTAAAAATCTCAGTGTACTCTTGCGGTGTATAACAACATACAGTTGAAATACTTCAGGAAAAGTTGATTTATAAAACAGGTTTTGAAAACATGAATACTACCCTCACCCAATCACCAAAATGTGTAGGTTTCCCTGAACTATACACCAAACTGTACACTCGATAAGGACCTTATACTGATAGCATAAGGGCTTGCGTTAAGGCCTTATCCTGTGCACAAGGTAGATGAGCCCGCGGTAAGGTCTTACAAGTCATAGACTAGGCCTAAGATACTTCTTCTAATCATACACCCAATGATAGTAAATATGCATATATTTGAGTGAAAATAATAGTTTAATTTATTAAAACATGTTGTATTACAAAATTAGATACATAAATACAAAAACAGAGATCATGTCAAATATACGGTAAATCAGATATCATGCAGTTAAAATATTTCATATAATCAGAATTTTTAAACAGTTTAGACAGATAGTTCAAAATAGTACTATAGCCAATAGGAACACACCTGTATCGATCTGATAAGCCGGATACGATACCATACTCTCAGGTCTGTCTATCACGATCGATGGTAGTGCTAGATCATACGAATCGAATGAACTATATCCAAATCCTAACATAATAAATAATAAACTTTAATTTAATTATTTACTAAAACCTATGAGTAGTTCTAGAAAAATGTGGACCATACAGATTTGTTAGACGAGAAGCGTTAGACCTAGTCGGCCCTTGGTAAGAGGAATCACGAGTGCCTTTATAAAAATATAATCCCAGATCAATTCCATAATCAAATCCCAAATAAAATGCAAAAATGCTAAAATACTAAGCATTTTCAGTTTAACAAGCTCAATTTGGGGCTTTCAAGATAGAATTTGGTGAAACAGACCATAAAATAAGACTCAAGATGTCGAAAATGTCAAGATGGAGGTTTTTGGAAAAATTCAACAATGGTCAACAGTCTACGGTTCGTTTCGATTGGTTGAACTGGTTCAGTCTGGTTTGAAAATGGGCAGGTCTGGTTGGGCCAATTTAGATTTGGGTCGAATGGGTCAGACATGTCAGACGGGTCAGATCGGACGATCAGGTCAGGTATGAGTTAGCGGGTCGAATTAAACCGCTTCTAGAAGCCCATCAGGGCGGTGGACAAGCTTCACACGCAGTGGCGGCGTGTGGGGGCGAGTGCAGGTTTTCGGGAGACAGAAAAGTTTACAAAAATTTCTAAAATTATTTTAAGCATTTTAAGGTATTTACCAAACTCGTTTCACAACAGTGAACGACAGAGAGCCCGATTATGCTATATCAGAAAATTACACTATCTCACCCCTCCACACGCCGACAACAAAGACAACAAGACGACCATCGTTGGACTTGGAATAACACAAGGAACACGATGGTATAGGCGGGTAGCTAATGGAGCAACGAACGACGACAAAACAACGTTTGAAGTTTCTTAACTAAAAGCTTTCTAAAGAGGAAGTATGAGGAGGAAAAAAGTTTTAAGTTTTCAAATGAGGAAACTTTCACGTTTTGGGAGGATTTAAAGCCAAAACTTAATGGAAATTGCAAAATTATGCCACAGGTCCTCAAGTGTTTCATAATTTGTGAATTTATCCTGAATTTAATATAGAATTCAATTTGGTACCAAAATTTAATTAAAATTTAATTTAGTCCTTGAAATAAAAATTAAGAAAAATTTAGCCCTAATTTCACGTGTGACAACTCTCCCCCAAAAGAAATTTTGACCTTAATATTTTCTTGCTTTGAATAGATGCAAAAACGGAGCCTCCATTGACTCCAATGTTTCCCAGTTAGCTTCTTTGAGAATACGGTTACTCTACTTAACTTTGACCATCGGGATTTGCCCGTTCTGAAGAACTATTTCGTCATGGTCTAAAATCTGAATATGTTTCTTCTCATAAGACAATTATGGTCTAAAGTCTACATCCTCAACCTGAATTAGGATGGTATCGCCTCAGCATAGATACATGGAAAACATCATGAATATGACTAAACTAAGGAGGCAAATCAAGCTGATAAGCAACGTGTCTGACTCTCTTCAGAAAACGGTATATAACCCAATAAATTATGGACTCAAGTTACCCTTACGTCCAAATGTCAGCAGCTTCTTCTAATGAGACACCTTCAAAAAAACCTGATCCCAATCTTAAACTTTATATCATTCTTCCTTGATCAACATAAGATCTATCTATCAAATGGCTCTCTTAGGAGACCACGAATTAATCTAACAGTATCCTCTATCACATGTGCTAACTATAGACCCAACGCCCTCCTATCATATAACTCAATCCAACATATAGGAGTACGACATTTACATCCATACAGAGCCTCATACGGTGCCATGTGGATGCTAGCCTGGTAGTTGTTGTTGTAAGGAAACTCAGCTAACAACAGAAATTTCTCCCAACTATGACAAAATTTAATCACACAACCTCGTAGTATATCATTTAGAACATGTATCATTCTCTTGGACTAACCATCAGTCTGTGGATTAAAAGTTGTACTAAAGTTTAGACAAGTACCCAGAGCCTCATATAGAGCCTTCCAAAATCTAGAAGTGAATCTCGGGTCTCGATCAGAGATGATAGACAATAGAACACCATGAAGTCTGACAATCTCAGAGATATATAACTTATTGAGCTTATCCAGGGGATAATTAACTCGAATAGGAATAAAGTGAGCTAGTTGGTGAGTCAATCAACAATAATAATCCAAAAAAATCCTTTTTAGAAGGAGTCAGAGGAAACCCGATCATAAAATCCATCGTGATACGCTCTGATTTCCACTCGGGAATTATAATGGGTTGCAACAGACCAGATGGGTACTAATGCTGCATTGACCTGTTGTCAAGTCAAGCACCTCACTTTTTAATCAGAAATATCCTTTTTCATTTTAACTCAATAGTAACACTCCTAGAGATTATTGTACATCTTTTCTCTACCAGCATGCATGGTGTAAAGATTACTATGGGCCTCTTGAAGAATGGTTTGCCTCAACTCACCAACCCTAGGAACATAGTAACAGTCGTGAAAGCAAAAAATACCAACTAATCAATAGTATATTTTGAACTCGATCCTTACTTAACTTGCTCGATAATAAAAATCAAAGAGATATATAGGAATTGCTTAGTCGTAATCTCCTCCGCTAAGGTCGATTAACTTGTAACTCTGCTAATATACTGCCATCATTATACAAGCTCAACTTGGAAAATAAGGCTCTCAGATAAGATATTGTCTTACAACTCAAGGCATCGACCACCATATTGACCTTGCCCAGATGATACTCTATCTCACAATCATAATCCTTCCAAAGCTTCACCCAGTGATATTGCCTTAGATTCAGCTTTTTCTACATAAGTAGATACTTCAGACTATTATGGTCGATATAGATATAACACTTCTCTCCATAGAGATAGTATCTCCAAATCTTCATATCAAAGACCATTGTAGCTAACTCTAGATCATGGGTGGGCAATTGTGCTCATGCATCTTTAAATGACGAGATGTATAAGTTATAACCTTCTCATCATGCATCAGGAAAGATCCTAGTCTATAGTGAGAAGCATTATTGTAAACTAAAAAATCCTTCCCATACTCAGGTGAATCAAGATTAAGCTTCAGTCAAAATTGTCTTCTAGACTTCTCAAAGATATATTGCTGCTTCGGACTAGAGAAAAAAATCCTTTCTTAACAACTTCATCA